GCAGGTTTACAACATTAGGAAATTGCTGCGGTGCTTCAGTGCAAACATAGTGTCATAAATAACACTTAAATAGACATGAAAAAATAGGGATAAGAATTAAAAGTGCTACGTGGAAAGATATGTGCATGAGATATACATGAGATATATACATGAGAGTAAGAATTAAGAGTGCTACGTAGAAAGATATATACATGAGTGCAGGTGGTGATCAGTGCCAAACATGGAATGATGCAGTGACACAGCGTAGGGTCATGTGTTAGTGGCGGGGACAGCCATACGGTTATTGTTCATGTGTCCAACAGCAGAGGGGAAGAAACTGTTCTTATGGCGAGAGGTTCTGGTGCGAATGGACCGGAGCCTCCTGCCTGAGGGGAGCAGGTCAAACAGACTGTGTCCAGGGTGAGAAGGGTCAGCTGAGATCCGAGCTGCACGCCCCAGTGTCCTGGAGGTGTACAGGTCCTGCAGAGATGGGAGTCTGCAGCCAATCACCTTCTCAGCAGAGCGCACAACACGCTGCAGTCTCTGTTTGTCCCTGATAGTGGCTCCAGCGTACCACACGGTGATGGAGGAGGTGAGGATGGACTCAATGATTGCAGTGTAGAACTGCATCATCGTCCGTGTTGGCAGGTTGAATTTCTTCAGCTGCCTCAGGAAGTACATCCTCTGCTGGGCTTTCTTGATGACGGAGGTGATGGTGGGCTCCCACTTCAGGTCCTGGGTGATGGTGGTACCCAGGAAGCGGAATGAGTCCACAGAGGTGATGGGGGTGTCAGTCAGGATGATGGGGGGAGTGGGGCTGTGTGCTTCCTGAAGTCCACAATAATCTCCACTGTCTTCTGGGCATTCAGCACCAGGTTGTTGTGGCTGCACCAGGACACCAGACGTTCAACCTCCCTCCTGTAGGCAGACTCGTCCCCGTCCGAGATGAGTCCAATAACGGTGGTGTCATCTGCAAACTTGATTAGCTTGACAGACTGGTGGGTGGAGGTGCAGCAGTTGGTGTACAGGGAGAAGAGCAGAGGAGAAAGAACACAGCCCTGAGGGGAGCCGGTGCTGATGGTCCGGGAGTCCGAGACATTCTTTCCCAGCCTCACATGCTGCTTCCTGTCCGTCAGGAAGTCAGTGATCCACCGGCAGATGGGATCAGGCACATTCATCTGGGAAAGCTTGTCTCGGAGATGGTCTGGAAGGATGGTGTTGAAGGCAGAGCTGAAGTCCACAAACAGGATCCTGGCGTAGGTTCCTGGGGAGTCCAGATGCTGCAGGATGAAGTGTAGGGCCATGTTGATGGCGTCGTCTACAGACCTGTTGGCTCTATATGCAAACTGCAGGGGGTCCAGGAGGGGGGCCGTGAGGGTCCTGAGATGGGAGAGAACTAGGCGCTCAAAGGACTTCATGACCACAGATGTCAGAGCCACGGGTCTGTAGTCATTTAGTCCAGTGATCCTAGGTTTCTTGGGGACAGGGATTATGGTGGAGGACTTGAAGCAGGCAGGCACATGACATGCCTGCAGTGAGGAGTTGAAAATGCCAGAAAACACTGGGGCCAGCTCGTTTGCAGTGTCTGAGGGTGGCAGGAGACACGCCGTCTGGGCCGGGAGCTTTCCGAACATTCAGGTTCTTAAACTGCTTCCTCACATCTGCTTCATGAATATGAAGAGTTGTGGTCGGAGGAGGTGGTGTGAAATCCTCTTTTGTGTGGGGTGAGGAGGGGGGTGTTGTAGGTGAACGATTTGAAGGTGGTGATGGCTCTATGGAGGGGGGAGAGGTGGGGGAATTAGTGTCCAAAGTGTCTCTATTGTTGGGGCCGTTGGAGGTGTGAAGGCTGCCTGATGGCTCGTCAAAACGGCAGTAGAAGTCGTTAAGGGTGTTGGCCAAGAGCAAGTCATCAGTGGAGTGGGGGGTTTTAGGCTTGTAGTTTGTGATATTCCTAAAACCTTTCCACACAGAGGCCGAGTCATTCTCTGAGATCTGCTGCTGCATCTTCTCAGAGTGCTGATGTTTAGCAATGTCCACTTCTTTAGTGAACCTGTACTTGGCCTCTCTGTAGCAGTCCCTGTCTCCGCTTCTGAACGCCTTTCTCTTTTCCAGCCACAGCTTTTTGAGTTTAGGAGTAAACCAGGGTTTGTCATTGTTATAACTCACCCTGGTGCGTGATGGCACAATGCTGTCCTCACAGAAGTGGATATAGGAGGTGACAGTGTCCGTAAACTCGTACAAGCTGTTAGAAGCAGCCTTCATTGTGTCCCAGTCTGTAGACTCCAAACACGTGCGAAGCTCCTCCACAGCCTCGTTGCTCCTCGTTGCTAGCACAGCTGGCTGCCGGCAGAGCCTGCGGGAACGGTGGGGGCGCTCCTCAGCTCTTTTCTGGGTGGGTGGCACAGCTGCCCCTCCTGGTCCTCCCAGGGCTCTCATGCTCTGGGGGCCTCTAGATGTCTGGGGGCTGGATCTCATCCATGCCTGCTTCATGTCTTGGGGGGCAGGGCTATGGCTCCCCACACTATTAGATAGTTAGATGGAGGAACTGTTGGGTTTATCTAAGTACAAACCCTGCTGGAACGTAAGACAACCAACCGCAGCAGCAAAACAAGACACAAGACAGAACTCTTTGTGAGCTCACTCGCGAGGAAAGCCGACCAAGGTCAAGCGCTGTTCCTTCCACATGAACCCCGTCAACCTCGGACGGACTCCTCGTACAGCTACTTTTACTGACAACAGTGATTACATGAATATGCATAGTTTGTGTGTGTGTGTGTCAAAATATGAGCCTGTGAAAACTGCTCAGTCAGGCCTAACAATGTTTTACTATGTTATCTGCAAAGAGATGAAACTCCCATGATGACCGGTGCCAGGAGCCTCCCGGGAGAATAGTGGGAGTCCTCCTTGCAGCAGCCCAACTAAGACAAAAGACTGTTGTAACTGAAAAGATATAGAGTGTGTGCTCTGCCATACCATATATCACCAAACAAGATGCGACCTTCCCATGAACTTAACATGTGTATGAGGTATGCCGAAACAGCAGAAGGGAGGGGAACGTCCTCCCCTCTCATGGTGCACACAGTGCACACAGAACCTTAGCAGACCTAAATAAGGATGACATATTTTATCAACATACAAACGATTATATATCTCTAAGCATAAATGATTATATTTTTCTAAGTACAAATAATAATCTTAAGTTATCACTCTCATAGGAACCTTTTGAATACAAGCACATTCACGTGCACAGGTGCGTGAGCATCAACTTATCCAGGTTGATGCTGTGGTCTCCCTACTGTGTTGTTCTCTTTTTTCTTGGTTTCTTCTTTTTCTTCCAGCAGGTGATCCAGCGGATTTTTAGTCTCCTTTCTCACTGTCCCTCTTGCCCTCTATTTTTCTTTCCCTCTCCTTTTCTTGAAATTCTCTTCTCTGCGTTTTTCCCTTTCCAGTCCCCCAGTCATGTCTTTTCCATTTGTAATTACTTAAATTTTAAAATAAACAAATAAATAAATACATAAATAATAATAATAATAAAGATCAATCAAGTGAACCGGTATGGATAAGCCATAATGATCCACTTGGAAAAATAAATCCGTTGGGCATTTCTCTTGGCCTTCACACAATAATTCTGATTGCCACAGTGCCGAACGGGACAGGCAAAGAAAAAGAAAAACCCCCAAAACAGAAAAATGCTAACTTGTACTGACACTTTTGGATAATGTGTAATGAACTAAAATGAGTTTCTTAACAAAGCAGATGAAGCAGCTTTCACATACACACTCAGTGATACGATACACTCGTGAATCATCTCAGTAATGAAACCTGCATCTCAGCCGTCATCTTGGTGACTTCTGACCTCTCCTTCAAGGTAAATAGAAACTCTCTGAAGGTTGAAGTGATAATAATGTTATATATGATCATTACTGTCACTGTTTGTATTGAGAACATATAGGCATATATGGAATGATATATAGAAATTCCTGAGAAAGCTGGCCTCTTCTTTAAGGTCAAAAAAGGTCAAACTTTTATAAAATGACTTTTATCTTTAAAACTGCTTATAATTCTGCTCCCTTTGTTTGTACTGGAAACGTTTAGGAGAAGATACTGGTGTATGGGCTATCACATTTGACCTCTGACCTCACTTTTGCTTTTCACCATCCAATGCATCTTCTTCCGCTTTATCCGGGGCTGGGTCACGGGGGCAGCAGCCCAAGCAGAGAAGCCCAGACCTCCCTCTCCCCAGCCACCTCCTCCAGCTTATCCGGGGGAACACAAAGGCATTCCCAGGCCAGCCGAGAGATATAATCTCTCCAGAAAAGACTATCATATAGAGCCTGCTCCACACACAAGCTGCACAGGCACCTGAGAACTGTCCACCCATCAGTGGAATGGGAAGAAAAAACACAGTCAGTTGAGTGTGATATTAATATTTCTAAATGCCAACCTTTCCCTTAATTAAAGATCTGGGCATTCATTTTTTTTCTTTTTGTTTTGCATATTTTAATCAATATTTTATTGTGTTGTGGTTTGCAGTATCTTGTGTTGTTTCCTTTTAAATTTGTTTATAAGGAAAAATCTGAAAATTTAAATAGTTAAAAGTTGAATTGTAAATAGTTGTTTTTGTATTTTTGTAATTTTTTTTTACATTTTATGTGGAGTGAATAAATAAAAGAATATTTATATAATAAAAATATATATAAATAAAAACACATATTTTTTTTACATTAGTAGTTCATTTTGTGCATAATTTTATATTGTTGTTGATAATAAATTAATTAAAGCAACAAAACAACCTGAAGAGACTCTGGTCAGCTGGCACTAACAGCATCACTGTAGTTTTGTGAAAACAGGAAGTTGAAGGGATAATGGTGATAGCCTTGATATTAGCTTATCTAACATTCACTTGACAAAAAGTCATTTCACATAGTATCTGAGTTTCTTGTTTGTTTTGTTAACTCATATGTTTGCAATGACACTGAAATAAAGGAAATGAGACTGCGGCTTGTCAGAAGCATTTTTATTTCCATTTTTTGGTCACGATGACAAAGCAAGCAGAGAAAACCACTTCAAAATGTTTAAGTTTCAGTATGCAAAAGACGAACTTTTACACCAAACTGTTTCTGCCAGTCACAGTTTTGTTGATCCATTGAACGTATTTTGTGATGTCGGTGTAGACGTTGGGCTCCTCTGGGTAATTGCAGATACCATTGTGGTTATAAGAAACAATGCCAACAGCTAACCCTTGACACACCAGAGGTCCCCCAGAATCACCCTGTGAGGAGCAAAGATTTTAATTTTTCTATTTAAAAAAATGATTCTTTTGTTGATGGAATACAAGTTTAACTTTCAGTGAAAACAGAACACATACCTGACAGAATCCTTTGTCTGTGCCATATCCACCTGCACAGACAACGTTGGCAGGAAGATGACCCCACTGGTCCTCACAGACTTGTTTCTCAATGACAGACACGTCCACCACCATCAGCTCATCAACAGGTTTATTAGCATCAGTTTTAGTTTTTCCCCATCCAGCCACCTGACACACTTGGTTTTCTTGAAGGTGTATTTCTTCAGGTGGAAGCTGAATTGTTCGTACCATGTGGCCTAGATGAGCCTTCTCAGACAACTGGAGACAAACACAATAAAGTAAAAATGCCATTTTTCTTATGATTGCTCTTTTGTTGCAATGTAATTAGAATAATAAGACCGCAAATATGTCATCTAAAACTGTTGTGAACATGAACATGTACTTACTTTAATCAGCATGATGTCATTACCCTGTCCAATCTGTTGATAATTTTCATGGATGATTTTGTTTTCAATCTTTATTTTTTGATGATTGCCGTTCTTGAGATTGTGGTTGCCGAGAACAACGTATGTGGGGTTGCTGAAGGAGTGATCAATGAATAAATCAACACATTTTTTAAATGCATTTCAGTGACATGAGTCAGAGATTACAGGAAAAGATGTCTGATTACTCACTATTTATTACAGTGTGCAGCCGAGACTACAAAGTCTTCAGTGATGAGAAATCCTCCACAAACATGGTGACTGTTGTTGTTCTGCACAGAGGCCATGTACTGCATCGAGTTCTCTGGGGCTTTTTTACCATCTATGATGTGACTTCCATGTGCTGAAACAAGTAAAAGAACAAACTAAAGAAAATGTAGTTAATGCCATATTAAATGATCAGAGAATAATAACAAAGCTTTCTTACCGAGCTTTCCGAGGCATGCCAGAAGATGAAGGAGCAGGCTTTTCTGCAGACCGAGCATGATGCCAGCGAAATAGTTACCATGTGTTTGAGTGTCTAGGTGAACCTTTTATACAGCAGTTTGTCTCACTGACAAGTATGATTACAATCAATCTTAATTTACTTTCTGTTACGCCCCAGTCTAGGGGTACAGGAATGTAGCATAAGAGTTAAAAAAGGAAGTAACACCTTCTAACCACATTATTTATGCGACGCAAGTTTTCATGTTTGGCAATTTACATGATCTTTTTTGTACAAAAGGCCCCATTGTTACGGTTTTATTCTGTTCAGTTGTTAGTTCACCTGTAGTTTTTTAGAGTGGCCACCCCGCCGTTTTGTATGAGAGAGACTATGGGCAGGGAGAAACGTGGGCAAGGCACCTGAGCTTTTCTGCTCCAGATTACCAGCAGAGAAGTGGTCATTCCGTGAGAAGTGTGTGTTAATGAGCAACGTAAGTTTGTGATGTGTGAGAATGTGATAATAAGATCAGAGCGATCCCACCGTCCCTCCTGTTTTTGTGTAATATCCAAAACTATGGTTAGCGGGCGATATTTAACAAGCCCTGTGTTATGAGCCCTGTTGTTATTTGCTAATGGTCTGACATTAAGAAGTGTTGGGAGTGATGGTAGCATCAGCAGATTTTGATCACTCTCTGTTTTTGGTCTGTTGATATTTATAATGATGTTGTTAATTATTATGATTTGGGAAAGTTATATAGTGATGTTTGTGTAGACAGTGAGAAGTTCAAGGGATCAAAAAATATGTGGTTCCTTATTATAAAGGAAACGCTCTCAATATGGGATTCATAATGTTTACTTGGGGTCCTATCTCCACCATTTAGGACCCAAATGATGTCAGTAGTACCCGGGTTGGTCAGACTGAGTGAGTGATGACTGTGATGAATTGACTTCACCTGCTGTGATGGTACCTAAGTGGATAATAGAGTATGAGATGTTTGGGGAAAGAAGTTTTGCTCCAAGTATATGTGGATGTATACCATCGTATCTGAATGACTGTGTGAGTTCTCAGCAGAGGTTGACATTGTCAGTGAAGGAGACGGTGCAGTGGGAGTGGTTTGTGGCTCAGCTGCAGGGGAAGGGTGGAGCAGTGGGTTTTGGGGTGTGGTGTAGGCGGAAACTGACTCCCACAGCTGTTCTCAATCACCTGGTCATGCCTTTGAGACATATCTATTCAGCAGACAGGCAGGCATGTAATTTAATTACATTTTATATGATGGATTATGCAGAAAAAGTAGAATTGGGCTGAAAGATCTATCGCTTTATTACCTATTCAGGTTGTAAATCATGTTTTTAAAAAGTAACTAAGTAACTAATTACTTTTGAAAATAAGTAATCAGTAAAGTAACGGGATTACTTTTTTGGGGAAAGTAATCAGTAATTACTTACTGATTACTTTTTTCAAGTAACTTGACCAACAATGCTTGTGACCATTACCCAGTTTAACTGCCATTGCACTTTAATTTGTTTTTCTTTTAATTAAAAAACAACTACTTTGAGATTTGCATCCCATTGTTCTTCTGCTGTCAAAAAAAAAAACTATTTAACTTTTACTCTGAGTACATTTTAAATTAGTTACTTTTTACTTTTACTTGAGTACATTTTTAGATAGGTAATTTTACTTGTACTTGAGTAAAATTTAATCAAAGTAATATTACTTTTACTTGAGTAGAATATTTTAGTACTCTTTCAACCTCTGTTCATATCCAGCAATAAGAGCTGTGTTTTTTGAGTTAAAGTCCTGCCTGTGAGTCTGCATTTGGGTTGACTCCTGCTGGCTTAACAGCCAGTTTATGACTCTTTTGGGTTGAATAGAGCTTCTCATATCTATACAATTATATCAACACAATTTCATTCTAATGTAGTTGGTAGAATTTGGAGGTTTGGACTCTTTTTTATAAGTATAATGTGTAATTTTATATACTTATTTGCCTTTGTGTTTTAGATTAAGAGTCGATGCTCTACACTCACAGTTATGAAACTATTACTGTGGTTAGTGGAACTGCACTCACAGAGCTTTTCATCTGTTGAATTATCATTCATACAGCATCTGCAGCATTAATGTGAATTTATTATTCATTATCCTCATCCTCATAAATCTGTACTCCAGCTGTAGTAAGATATAGTGCACATAAATTAAACCTTTTGTGTTGCTGTTTGAGCCTCATTGCCCTGCACTGAAGCTCAGAGGAAGACTTGTATGGGTCTCTGTTGAACCACTAGAGCATGCTGTTTCAGTAGATGAAGTTATTAAAATGTTTGATAAAATCTTCCAGCACAGGTGTGTGCAGTATTAAAAAAAATTCAAGCCACTGCAAACCAGGTCATTCTACTATTACCCTCAAATCTTGTCTTTTTGCCAATAATCACCCTTCTCCACAAACATCAGGTGGTGACTTGTGAGAGCGAGGACAAGCATTGTGTAATGCATTTATAGTAAAAACAAACAGAATCTCCACCGAGCACATGTTGGATCTGACAGTAAGCCGACAAAATCCTCATATTACTTAAATACCAAAAAGTAGTCATTCCCTGAACCCAGCATGTTTTTGAGCTTTACTGTAGTATGTTTCTGTTCATCATTCATAGAGCAACAAACAAGGAATATAAAAAATGAAATGTTATGAAACATATTTTCTCATTTTCTGGTAGAAGAATGTGGCTCTGCAGTCATTGACCTGTATCCATGGTAAAACCTGCAGACTTAAAATTATATTATGAATATAATTTACCAATTAAAAAAAAAAGTAAAAATAATAAAGCTGTACCAGAAGAGCTGTTCAAGTCTGAATTTGATTACTTCATTTGACACTGAACTTCAGTTTAATTGGAGAAAACTGAATTAAAATTTTGAGAAGCAAAAAAACATACAGGGATGCAAATATGTCTTTCGTCACAGGCAAACTGAAGCGTGGTCCACTACAAAGGCAGAAATAATATTAAAAATTCAGCCTTTTGGCTGTTACAGAAAGAAATGACAGATCGAGTGTGGGATACGTTTGTATTTTTGTTTTTGGTTAAACCGATGAAAGAATCAGAAATTCTCACATTTCAATAGTGAAAAGAAAAACCTTTTTATTTTAAGTGTTTTACACAAAAAAATGTTTTCGGAAACTTTTTTTTTTCCAGAACCTCGTCGATCCACCGACGGTAATTTGAGATGTCCGTATAGACGTTGGGTTTATTGGGGTAATTGCAGTTCTCCTTATAGTTGAAAGAAACAACCCCAACAGCAAACCCATGACACACCAGAGGACCACCAGAATCTCCCTGTGAGGAGGAAGAATTTTAATTTATCAGTTTATGTTCATTGTGTTTATGTTTTTAAGATTTGTGAACATGAAACCTGTTTAAACTGAAAGGACAGAAAACATACCTGACAGAATCCTTTGGTTGTTTCATATCCACCTGCACAGGTTACATTGGCAGGAAGACCATGCCATTGTTCCTCACAGACCCTTTGGTTAATGACAGACACGTCCACCACCCTCAGCTCATCAACAGATTTACCACGAGTTTTAGTTGTTCCCCATCCAGCCACCTGACACACTTGGTTTTCTTTTAGGTTTATTTCAGCATGTGGAATTTGAATTATTTCTACTCTGTGGCACAGTTTAACTTTCTCAGACAGCTGGAGACACAAGATGAAGTAAAAAATATATCTACGTTCTTACGATAGTTCTTTAGATATAATCTGAATAATAAAACCACATAGAATAATCCTTTAATTGTCCCACAAGGGGAAATTACACAACATGTAAACTGTTGTGAACATGAGCATGTACTTACTTCAATCAGCATGATGTCATTACCCTGTCCAATCTGTTGATAATTTTCATGGATGATTTTGTTTTCAATCTTTATTTTTTGATGATTGCCGTTCTTGAGATTGTGGTTGCCGAGAACAACGTATGTGGGGTTGCTGAAGGAGTGATCAATGAATAAATCAACACATTTTTTAAATGCATTTCAGTGACATGAGTCAGAGATTACAGCAGAAGATGTTTGATTACTCACGAGTCATCACAGTTTGCAGCCGAGACTACAAAGTCTTCAGTGATGAGAAATCCTCCACAAACATGTTGACCCTTGTTGTTCTGCACAGAGGCCATGTACTGCATCGAGTTCTCTGGGGCTTTTTCACCATCTATGATGGCAATAACATGTGCTGAAAAAGTCAAATAAAGCAAACCAAAATGAAGTTAACGTTCCATTAAACGGTCGCAGGACAATAAGAAAGACTTGCAGTTCTTACTGAGTCGTCCGAGACATGCCAGAACATGGAGGAGCAGGATTTTTTGCAGACTGAGCATGATGCCAGCAAAAAAGGTGAAGTTGTGTTGGCACGAGTGTGAAGTGGAGGTTTTACACAGCAGTTGCTCTGTCAAATTTGATTATCACATTTTGACTTCTAACCGCATCCTGGTTTTTTTGGGGACTTGTGTCATCTTTACATTATCTTGTTGTCTTCCTGAAACACATGGGCTGTTTAATGGTTGCGAGTTTCTCTCTCACACCACAACTTTAGTACACCATCAGCACATGCACACAAACCTGCCTAAACCTTCAAAAAGCTGGGTTGTTGAAGCATTTTGCACCACTGTTAAAGCTCAAAACAACAATTCTCACTGAGTTGCTGATTTCATATTTGAACCAAAACTAATAACATCATGGTACTTGGCTCATAATCTGTCCACCAGCAATGTAAAAACAGGAAGGAGATGCCTTTTCATTTAGCGCCTCCTTGGGGCCATTTCTTCCACTGTGTGAACTGTTTATGGAGCGAGGGTTGCAGGATTTGTCCTGTAGTAGGGCACTACGACTCTTCTGTAGAAGGCATTATTATGGAGCATGGTCTTTTGAAGGAAGAATATGTAAATAGTGCTGTGGCGGTAAAGAGAGTGTCAGAAAGATTCATGAGTTTGAAGCTGGAAATTGAAGATGTGATGCTGAAGTCAGTTGGATGAAGCAGTAAACATCCGTGCAGGTGAAGGGAGCAGAGGCAATGAGGAAGTGTTGATCAGGTGTTGATTAGGTATGGTGTTAATGAGAGAAATGCTGATGGTGTTGGATTTTGCCAAAAGGATGGAAATGACTGTGTGGTGAACCTCGTGAAAAACGAGGAACATGTATAAGAGTGGAGCGAAGTGTAAACATGTGGAGTGCATCTTTGCAGAAGAAACAAAAGATAGTAGACTACTAAGACAGGCTCCTTGTGGCAGGGCAGAGTTATCAGATGACTGTAAAAGTCTAGCTGAAGTGCTAAGGGAAACATGCCATACCATCTGTAAACATGATAGCTCAAAAAGTGTCGAATGAATTCTGTTAAAACATTGTAGGGGTGTGAAGCGGGGTCATGTTAACAAGCCATTTAAATTTGGCTCACATCCACCTTTGACCGACTTCAAGGGCAACTTCAAGATTTATTGGTGGAAAACTGAAAAAGAAGCCTTTTAAGATTAAAAGTGTGGTGTGTATTGTCGACATATTGAAAGGACTGCATAAAGATTTAAGGATTTTTCTGGAAACCACACAGGGGAGGACAGAGGAAGAACGTGACAAAGGAGACTGAGACAATGGCCGTGTTCCAAAATCGCCTCCTATCTCCTATTAATGGCTGTGCCTCATGTTATCTGTCTGAGCTGCTGCACCCTTATGTCCTGCCTCATTCTCTCAGGTCAGCAGACCAGATGCTTTTGCTCGTTCCAAACACTCAACGTAAGCACAGAGGTAGGAATAAAGTGCTGCAGTTTGCAGGCCTTCTGACCAAAATAATCCAGTGTAAGCTCAGGTTTCAGTCCAGTGGTAATCTCTGAAAATAGGCAGTTCTGATAAGTGAGAGGAGGCTGAAGGAAAATCTGTATGTTTTGATATAATGTTACCGTGCCACATGCGTGTGCCAACATTCAGGCATTCATCTAACACAGTAACAGTATTAATTACAGATTCTGCAGAGAGAAGCCGCTCGCTGTGTGCGCACCGCTGAGAAAAAGAAGCTGAGCTCGATTTATTTCTGCTCTGTTTCATGAAAACTGTGTTAGTGAGGAGCAAAGAGTGGGCTCACCGACACACTTGGCATGAAGACTGAGTGAAGAGTTTCAATACAGAGAGTTCTCTCTCGTTCTGATAACATCTCGCCTCCGAAAAATAAACTCTTCTATTAGCAGCTATTACAGCCACCGCAGGCTGAATACAGGATTTGTTTTTCCATGGTAAATTTTGTGCAACTTGCAAGAAACTTTGTGTCATAGACTTTTCAATTCACATTTGCCTCACTCATTTAAATAGTCTCCACCTGAAAAATCAAAATCACTGTAAATCAGACACAGCCGTCCCAGATATTTAACAATCAATCAAATATCTTTGCTTTTATGATCCTAACCTCATTGTGTCACTGACACTCAATATTCACATTAAACCACTAGGTGGTGATCTCTGATATACACTCAACAAAAATATAAACACAACACCTTTGTTACTGCTCCCATTCCCCATGGGATGGACGTAGAGACCTAAAATTCATTCCAGATACACAATATAAACATCCCTCCCAAACAGTGGTCACAAATCAGTCCAAATGTGTGGTAGTGGGCACATCTGCTATATTGAGATAATCCATCCCACCTCACAGGTGTGCCACATCAGGATGCTGATCTGACATCATGAGTAGTGCACAGGTGTACCTCAGACTGCCCACAACAAAAGGCCACCCTGGAATGTGCAGTTTTGTCTCACAGCAAAATGCCACAGATGCCACAAGCAATGAGGGAGCGTGCAATTGGCATGCTGACAGCAGGAATGTCAACCAGATCTGTCGCCCGTGCATTGAATGTTCATTTCTCAACCATAAGCCGTCTCCACAGGCGTTTCAGAGAATATGGCAGCACATCCAACCGGCCTCACAACCGCAGACCTCGTGTAACCACACCAGCCCAGGACCTCCACATCCAGAAGGTTCACCTCCAAGATCGTCTGAGACCAGCCACCCAGACAGCTGCTGGAACAATTGGTTTGCACAACCAAACAATTTCTGCACAAACTGTCAGAAACCGTCTCAGGGACGCTCAACTGCATGCCCGTCGTCCTCATCGGGGTCTTGACCTGACTCCAGCTCGTCGCCGTAACAGACTTGTGTGGGCAAATGCTCACATTCGATGGCGTCTGGCACGTTGGAGAGGTGTGCGCTTCACGGATGAATCATGGTTCACATTGTTCAGGGCAGATGGCAGCTGAGAATGTCCCAGTTCTTGCATGGCCAGCATACTCACCAGACATGTCACCCATTGAGCATGTTCGGGATGTGCTTGACCGGCGTATACGACAGCGTGTACCAGTTCCCACGAATATCCAACAACCTCGCACAGCTATTGAAGTGGAGTGGACCAACATTCCACAGGCCACAATTGACAATCTGATAGACTCCATGCGACGATGTGTTGCACTGCATGAGGCAAATGGTGGTCACACCAGATACTGACCGGTTCTGGGTCCCCAGACCCCCAATAGCGCAAAAAACTGCACATTCCAGGGTGGCCTTTTGTTGTGGGCAGTCTGAGGTACACCTGTGCACTACTCATGATGTCAGATCAGCATCCTGATGTGGCACACCTGTGAGGTGGGATGGATTATCTCAATATAGCAGATGTGCCCACTACCACACATTTGGACTGATTTGTGACCACTGTTTGGGAGGGATGGTTATATTGTGTATCTGGAATGAATTTTAGGTCTCTACGTCCATCCCATGGGGAATGGGAGCAGTAACAAAGGTGTTGTGTTTATATTTTTGTTGAGTGTATTTTGTGGGCACTGTGTGGCTTCAACCCAGTTCACAGTAATACTGGTAAAACTAGAAAATGAATGATGATTATTAAAAAGCACATATGATTAACATGTGAGCAAATTGGCAAATTATATTTTTTAGTTTCAAAACTACTGATGATTGTTATAACACATTAAGAACACTTCTGGCTGTGTGTGTGTGTGTGTGTGTGTGTGTGTGTGTGTGTGTGTGTGTGTGTGTGTGTGTGTGTGTGTGTGTGTGTGTGTGTGTCTGCTCAGCGTATAAAGCTGTGGATCACAGTGGACTTCAGTGAATTCAACATCCGCTCAGCGAGAAGTACGACGACATGTTGTGCCTGAGGAATTTCAGTGTTTTCATCTTGTTCATGCTTCTTTCCATCATCCAGTCAGGTGAATGCTGTTTTGTACTTTAGTTTACATTACTGACTTAAAAATCTGCTGATTTTCTTATGTGACTGGATTTTTGTTGTTGTTTTGGGTCATGGTTCTGAGATGGAAGGAAGGAAGTTAAGCCACACTTGCTGCCCTTCATGGTTTATTTGACAAGCAAGAAATCTATGTGTGTGTGTGTGTGTGTGGGGGGGGGGGGGGGGGGGACATTAATCCACCCACAATGGGTCCTGACAGCTGCTCACTTTTCCTAAATTTTCAAATCAAAATATTGCAGTATTTATTTTCAACAGAAGATGTGAAGTGTAATGCAGATGGAGATAATTAACACACCCACAAACTGCTCCAATAATATCTCGATTTAGAGTGAGTACAATATAAATGTTATTGCTGGATTTTCATACAATGCAAAAATAAATATGATCAATATAAAGCTTTATAAAGGTAACTGATGTTTTCTTACCCAGAGCGTAACTCCTCCTGACAGGCAGGGGTTGCACTAAAATGTTTCATGCTTTTATAAGAACACGACCTTTAAACTTTTGACCTTGAAAATTACATACTAAAATTGTGTATTTTATTATCTTTACTCATTGTGATGTCAAAGGGCTTTGTATTGAAAAAATAATAAGTGTGTTGTACAGTTTGAAGATGATCCATAAACAATTGTGGGCAATTTCAAGTTTGATGTGGCTTTGACCTGATTTTCACCAACATGAAATCAGCTTGAGTTGTTATTTGTGTCTGACATCACACAACGCTTGAAAACTAGCAAACAGACAAACAAACACAAAGAACCGATTACATCCTGCCCTCCTTCAAGTGGAGAAA